TTTAATAAAATTTTATTTATAAATTATAATAAATATTAAATAAAAATTATAAATATAAATAATTTACCAACTAAAAGATCATTAATTATCATTAAAAATTTTATATAATAGTAAATTAAGTTTAAATTAAAATGTAAAGAATAAATAACTTACTCCCTATAATATTATTAATTGTTAAATATTTTTTTGAATAATAGTTTAATTAATTTAAATTATATAAATTAAAATATAATAAAATTAAATGGTTTACAATCTAAGTATTACCATCATTAAATTTTTTTTAAAAAAATAATAATTATTAAATAATTAAATAAATAAATAAATAATAAAATTATTACCATTTAATTCTTCTAATGTAGGATTATCTGAAACTGATTCTATTATAATATTTATTTGTGAGAAAATTTTGGAATTAATTAATATGATTTATAGCAAAATCTAATATTTAAACAATTTATAAATATTTTTTACCATTTAATTTTTCTAATACTTGAACAATTATTGAGTATAATTAATTAATAGACTATTATATTTGTTGATTAATTATATTTTCTATTGTATTTACCTTTATCACTTGAAACTAATACTATATTCCAAGTTTATTTAAAATTTTTAGTAAATAAAACACAAATGACAAATGGTAAATTACAGTATTATGGTAATTATTATATTCACATTCATTATCCAAGGTCAATTCTACATTATAAAATATAATTAACAAATTCTTTAGTATTGGTTAAATTGTTGTATTTATCTTTATCAATTGAAATTGTTTCTATTTTCGAATTTGATAAAATTTAATTTTTAGCAAACAAAATGAGTATAATTAACGGCATGTGTTACCTTCTAATGAGGAAGCTTTTTTAACGTCCGAAACTGGTTCTAATGGTAATTCATGAAAAAAAAAGAAAATTTTTTAGAATATCATCAAACCGTCAAATTAACTCATTTTAGTCATACAAAGCTTCATACCTTTTATTCCTTTTTCATGTTTGGTGAAAATATTTTTTAGTTTCTTTATTACACTCTTACCATTAGACATTGGTTAAAATAAATTTTTTTTTTTTAAACAAATTACTTGTATAACGAACGATAACAGTAATACATACTGTATATTGTCAAGGTAAGTAGATCTTACCGTTTGTATGTACTGTATGTGAGGCACAGCACTAGATATATTAAAGGAGGATCTGTGTTACGGTAAAAAAAAATTTAGTTTTAGGCGATTCGTGTACCTCCAAAGACCGGCCATTTTTAACTTCTCTTCTTCCCTCTTCACGGCCGATTAAATTTTTAGAAAAAATATTTTAGAGATAACAGTTTGATTTCACTAGAAATCACATCTTTCTCGTTTCAAATTTTTTTTTTTGTCAAATGAATACAAATCAATTCATCAAAAGTATGAAGGCTATATTTAATGCAAAATTACTGTCGCGTGTTGATTATATACCAGAGATGTGAATTTAACTTTCATATAAAGATGACACCTCCTAATGTGATGATGGATAGACTTTTCGCTGGTCCTTCTACAAAATTTCTTGCTGTTGAAGGGCACATCTTTACGGTTGAAGCTCGTTCATTTTATTTGTCTCAGAGGTTTAAATTTTTATAAATCTCCTTTTATCCTTTATACTTAATTTTATACGTCATATCATCAGGTATTGCAACTTTAATGAGTAACCAGTCCATAAATGCTAGTATCAATACAATTACTTGTAAACTAGGAAAGTCAGTTATCGAGATGATGCTTACTGCTATCGATGTTATTTTTGCTTTCAAATGGTAAAGGATCCTCTTTTATTAAGTGAAGAATTTGAAGCTGGTTGCTGCAGAATTAAAATTGCATGAGATGTAAAATTTACTTTATAATTTGTCAACAATAAAGAAAAATTATTTCTACTATATTTTTTTTTTTTCAACAAGTAAAAGCATCCCTTCTTGAATATATGAACAATATTTTCTTTTTTTTTTTTTAAAAAAAAATCAGAACGTTATTTTTAATAATCCAAACTGTCCAACTACCAATGGAATTGGGATTGCAGTAAAGTTAAGCGTTGTATTAGGATCATGTAAGGATTAGGGTATAGATAATATGCCATGAGTTAGTCTTTAAAACATAAATCATCGGGAAGAATCTTAACTAGTTGAGATTTTAGATCGTTGAATCGTTGAGGTGACTTATTTAATTACCAATAATTTTCAAATATGGATTTACAACAAGTTTTAAAATTAAATCACCTCCAGATACCATAAAAAGAAAAATTCGATTCAAGATCGTCGATCATGAGTTTCGAGCGAGTGCTATCAACCATACGAAAACAAAAAAAAAAGTTTTGAAATTTGAAGTAAACATAATTAGTTAGGCTGGTTGAAAGCTATTTTATTTAAATACACAGAATATAATACCAAATAAAAACCTCCTCAAATAAAATCCAACAAGTAAGCCCATATGGGAGGATTTCTAGGAAAATCAGGTTCCGAGAAATTTTGACTAAAAATTAAGAACTTAATGCATTTTAATCTAATAACATCAAAAACTAAAATGCAATAAAAATCTCAATTTTGTTAAAAATTTCCGGAACCTGATTTTCCTAGCAATCAACCCATATAATGACCTTAATAAATATAAAAAGCACTAATAAAAACCCATCCGCAAAGCGAATCCAAAGTAAATCCCTATATCTATATCTTCTCAAAGCATATCCCAAATGATAGTTTCTTGTCCCTAGTTCCCTTACATCCCTTTGCAATCTTACTTCATAAGCTTTTGTCTTTGTTAATATCGTATCTAAATTGGTAACTTCTTCTGATCTGATAAGCTTGAGCACCGATCGTCTACAATTATTCTCTCATTTTCTTCTTTTTTGAGTTGTTCTTCAACAGCTTTATTTTTTTGAAAGCGAAAATCGTTTACACGATGTGCATGGCTTTGACGAACATTTGTGGATTTATAAGACATTTTTGTAAAAGTTAAAAGGTTGAAGTTGAGAAATCGTGTAGGTGTGTTTGACAAATAATACATAGTACTTGTTCGGCGGTATCCGGACGTTTCGCCGAATCCGTTTCACCGAAAGGACATTTCGCCGAAAATGACTACTGCGTAACATTTGTTTAACTTATCATTTTTAGGTACTACATTAAAAAGTAAGTTTTTTCTTAAAAATTTCGTTGGAAATAATAAAAAAAGTTCAATAAATCTGGCAAATTGCTAACAATCAACAGCGAATTATTTTCGTTTTCGGAGAAATGTCATTTCGGTGAAACGGATTCGGAGAAGTGTCTATTCGGCAGAAAGGATTCGGCAAACGTCATTTCGGCGAAGCGTCCTCTCGGTGAAATGTTCATTCGGCGAAACGTCTTTTCGATGAAAAGTCCATTCGGCGAAATGAACATTCGGTGAATTTGCTTCGGCAAAGTGAATTTCGGCGGAACGGGTTTCGGCGAAACGTACCGTAACCTCGTTCGGCTACTAGATAATAATACTAGTACTCAGGTTATGCGGCGAGGACGTCAGTACTAATTGCACCCTCCAAAAAAATGGAGCTCCTCAACCAAGCAAAGTTCCAGTCTATCTAAACCTACATTTCAAACATGCACGGAGAGAGAGTCTTCTAATTTTTTTATATTTTTTTTTATTCCCTCTTTCATGTCCCAAGTTTTCCTTCTTGGCGGTTTGATACCCCAGTTCTGTCCTTCTGGGCGTTTGTAACCCTGTTATCTGTTCTGGAGTTTGGTAACCAGTTAGTATCTCTGGTTGAAGTTCTCTGCTGAGAAGGGAAGTGCATAACCGGAATCACGTACAGTACGTTTTCCAATAAGTGGGGTGAAAGAGGGGACACAAAACAGAATGTGCTTGTGAAAGACTGCCTTCGCGAGAGAGAGAGAGAGGGGGGGGGAACAACAAAAAGAAAAGAAAGTTGGAAATTATTTTTTTTTTTTTTGAAACGCCAGGTATATATAATAATATACTGACTCTTGTTGCCTAATATATATAAGCGTGATCATGAGATCATACTTCGCTCATTTTGATGACACTGAAAAGTATATTTTATTACCTATCTTTCACGAGAATCCTTTTAAAGCATTAAATGCTTCCTTTTTTTAACGATTAAACTGCGTAAACATATATTATGAGCATTGAATGAATTTTACATTGAATACTTATTTATCGTAAAGAACAATTTATCAGTAAATCCGCTCATTAATAACAGTCAACGAAAATTAAAAAAAAAAAAATTGATTATTCATACATTTTATTGTCGAAAATAGTGTATATTTTTTTTTTAAAAAAAAAAAAATATCAAGTTAATTAATTTATATTAAGGACTTAATACAGAATTTTCTTTTTCTTACTCGGTTTATGACATCGCTTCATTCACTTCGCTCCATTTCTTCGCATATTATTATTTCCAGCAGAAATACCAAAAGAAAGGTTAACAATACAAAATTATATTTTTTATAAATTTTCGTTCCTAGAATTTAACTATAAAAAATAATTTTCAATGTTTAGGAATATCGACAAAGTACGCAAAAAAAAAAAAAATTTACTGCGGAAATGTTAAAAATTTATGATTTTTTTTTATATGAAAACTAAGTATTTTTGCTTTTTATAAAGTCATTCGAAACTTGCCGATAATTCTGGCAACTTGTGATATTGAGGTTAATAAATGCTTTATATCACGGAACTAGTTTGAAAACAATAATAATGATTTATATCTGCTAATAAAATCCAAGTTTTTGAATAATCTCTTGCATTTAGTAAGGTATAATTCACTCTCTCCAGAATGATTATCTCGATTAGAATCTCAAATAACTTACGTAAATATATGTTATGTAAAGACTATCAATACCAAATTGTTCGTATTAGTATTCCCAACTAATTTAATATTTCATTAAAGAAAATTGCATTCGTCTTTTGAGATTTCGAAACCCATGGGAAGTTTTAAAAACTACCATTAGTAAATATATATCTAACAATATTCTGTAAGTATAAGTAATATAAGAACTTTTCTGTTTCCTCTCAATATCGTAATTAAATATGTTGGACATTAACTATTATGGATAATTTATCAATACAGCGAAGTAATAAATTTATGGAATCCAATAAAACGTTTGTTTTCCTAAAAGTATATTATAATTAACATACGACAATAACTATTCACATGATTTTAGAATCAATATTTTCTCATCGTGACACCAAACGATTTAACCCATGTAATTTTTATGAACTCTCCAAATACGTAATAAATTTACGTAATGATGACAGATAATCCCTATAGTTTACCAAATTTGTATTAATTTATTTTTTAAGCGGAAATAAATGCCCAAAAAATTAAATTAAAAAAAAAAACTATAAAAATACCTTATTCCGTTTTGTTTTTCGACTAGAAAAAAATGTCTTCTCCAAATTGCCCCGAATTATTTGCTCATTGGTATTGTGTTACGTTACATATCATAAATTTTTTTATTTGAACTGTATCCATTAAATTTAAACCCTTTTTTTTTATTTATTTTACAAATTAGGTTTCATGCGATTGATGTACCATTGAGAGATCCAAACAAAGACAAAAAATTTCAAACCGGCACGTCATCATCATCGATTAACACTACTACATCATCCTCCTCTTCGACCAACACTCCACATAATCTCTCATTATCCAATTCCAACAAATCTTATACTTCTAAACAACCAACTGTTTGGATAGCTTTTTCCAAACGTGATTCTAACGCTCTCGAAGCTGCCTTCAAAGCTGGAAAACCTGGAGCGAAGGTTCCATGTAATGAAGATTATCTATTCGAAGTAGATATTGACAATCGCGAGATTAGCCCTGTATTTTGGCCAGGTGCTACATATGAAGTTGTACGTGCCACTTGGTTTTATCTAAGTGACGGAAAATTTCTTCCCTGTGATGAAAATTTGGCTGCTCAAATTGAAGATGGATACAGGTAAAATATTTAAATTTTTTATTTTTATTATTATCATCTAATAAAAAATAATTCCCTTTAGGAAACATCAAGCGTGGATTCCACGACCTGAATTGGAGTCAACTGATCAAACTAATAATGGGTCCGAACAAATTCAAGAAAAAAGTTGGCCATTACTTGGAAAATATCTTTCTCAGTATGTGGTCTATACGAATCCTACAACTGCTTGGTTATTACAGTAAGGAATTTTATTTTTTTTTGTTTGTCACTTTTTGAGGAATTATTGAAGGAATTTATTAATTTTCCTTTTTATGTAATAATAGCGATGATATGACTGGAAAACTAACAAAAACTTTTTTTGCAAAACTCACTAATGGAGTTCATCTGGGAGGAACTCGCCTTATCCGAGGTTATAATGAAACTAAAAGATTATTATCGAAAAAATCATCTGAGGATGAGGAGAAGAAATTTAAGGGTGAATTGGACAACCTTTCTTCCGCAGGCAGTGTTCCGAGAGAAGTTAAAATGGAAATGGTTGAAAGTGAAGATTATAATAATGACGATGAAGAAGAGAGAGTCATTGATCATCTTATTTTGGTAATTCACGGGTAAGGAATAAAAGTAATATATAATTTTTTATGAAATTTGCTTAATTCATATTAAATTATATAATTGTTACATCATTATAAATGATTTAGAATCGGTCAAAAGCTTAGCGAGAAAATGGAATCTATTAATTTTGTACATGGTATGATGTAAATTTATATTATCCTGATTTTTCTAGTATTTCTTATTTCAATAACTAAAAAAATATAATTCGCTAAAGACGTCAACATGTTAAGGAAAACTATTAAAGCCACATACTCTACAACACTTGGTCCTGAAACTGCTTATAAAAACATTTCTAAAAATAAATCAGAATTTAACTCAGATCGCCGCAATTCTGGTAATTCTGAGAAAAGCATTCATAAATTCGGAAATGGTGTACAAGTTTTGCCTATTCAATGGAGGCAAGAAATAAAGTTTGGAATGGCGTCTGAAGATGAGAACGTTCAAAGAGATTTAGGCATGCCTAATGCTGAAGAAGGTCAAACTACTTTGGAAGAAATTACTTTGGAGGGTGTACCAACATTAAGAATGTTGATTTCTGACGTTTTAATGGATGGTAAAATGAATCCTTTTATGATCAAAGATTTCACTTGAAGGGTGAACTAAAATGACCATATATTTTTATTTTATTTATTTTTTTTTTTATCTAGTTTTATTATACATGACACCAAAATATAGAGAATTGATGATTAATACAGTAACAAAAGAAGCAAACAGAGTTTACAATTTATTTATTGAAAGGAATCCTAAATTTGTTGAAAATGGAGGAAGGGTTTCAATATATGGACATTCACTAGGTTCCGTGTTGGCATTTGATGTATTATGTCATCAACCTCCGCTTTTCCCTTCAACACCATCTGGTATTTTTGAGGGAAGGGGGTCAACTGAATTAGATGCTATTCATCAGCATACTGTAAAATTGGATTTTGATGTTACAAATTTTTTTGCAGCTGGATCACCAATAGGATTATTTTTGTTATTAAAAGGCCTTAAGATAGCTTCAAGAAAAGAACGTTCTACGGAAAGATTCAATCAAGCATTAGCAGGGGCAGTTCTAGAAATGGGAATTGATATGACTTTACCTTTAGGTCAATCATCATCTGTTCCATTATGTTTTCCGGCTGTTAAAAATTTATACAACATATTTCATAATGCAGGTATGTAAATATTTAGGTTTTTCAAGAAAATGATTTATTCGCTAACTTTATTGTTTTTATATTTAGATCCAATTGCTTATAGATTAGGTAAGTGTACGAATTATTGATTAGAATTGTTTCAGCACATTAATTCATTATATTTCAAAATATTTTTCATAGAGCCACTTATCGCTAGACATTATGGTAGAGATATGAAACCTGCTCTTATTCCATACCATAAAGGGGGATTAAAAGGAATGCATATTGGTATTCAAGAATTTGGGAATGAAATTGCAAACAAAGCCACAAATATCTTTTCATCAGTTAAAACGTCTTTAATGTTTACAAAAGGATTACAATCAATGTTACCACAAAATAGTGTTAGTAGTATTAATGTAACACATAAAAAATCAGTTTCAGTATGTGGAGATGAAGGTGGATCAGCTTTAACAAATTATCCTCCAACTAGTTATTCTTCAAATGATGAATCAAAGAAATCAGAGGACGATGATCCTCATGGATCATATAAAATTAAAGATTTAAATTCATCTGGAAGAGTTGATTGGGTTTTACAGGTATAGTATTAAATATCTTTAACATTTATTATCTCTAACTTATTTTGTTAACAATTTCAATTTCAAATTTCAATCTTAATTTTTGCATTATAGGAAGGAATATTGGATGTTAGTTATATTAATGCTATTACAGTGCATTTGAGTTATTGGTCTGATCGTGATGCTGTAAACTTTATTATGAAGGAAATTTATAGAGAGAAATATGAGGAATCAGGTTAAAATAAAATTTCTATATAAAAAAAATTATTAATTATTTGTTAGATTTTTTGATGTATTTGTTTCTACACTACAAGTTCCCGCTCTTAAATAATAAATTCTTAATCTAAATAATGAATATAAAATGAAAGGATAAAATGATAAGAAAAAAAAAAATAAAATAAATAAATTGAATAAAAGAATATTTGCGCAGCTACAACCACACCACATAATCGCGCAGATGAATATGTGAGATAATGAATGTATATTTGTTATCGTTAATGGCAAATTACAAGGCATTTACTTTTTTTATAAAATTATCTTTGTCATTTTTAAAATTAAAATAGAGGCCATTTGAGGCCATTTCAAGGTCATTTGTCATCACTAGGGATGGTAACGATCGGCCAACGGGCCTTAACTGACCGGTTGAACGATAATAGTAAATATAAAATAATGCAATTATCGCAACATTTTCGGCTTATTTGAAAGCTTTAACAATTCTAGCATGGCATGTTTTACATAAAGTAACGTTTTGATTTTAAGTCATTAAAAAATGGTGGTTCATCAAAATCAGCGGTCAACTGGTGCAACTCAAATCCGTTTATCTGAAAATAAAAATTTGAGAGATTACCTGCTGCTATAAGCTAACATTCTAAAAAATATATTTTTTACAAAAAAAAAAAAAACAAATAATTTTTAGCTGCTACTAATTATTACACGTTTTGAATTATGATGCATTTTAAAATAAATTAATACCATTTTTTAATAAATTTTCCATTTAAATTTTTATATAAATTGTAATAAACATATTTGTCTTTATGACACTTAAGAACATTTGAACATTTTATAATATTTTCACCGCGTGAAAAAAGAAAAAATACTTTTTCATATGGTAGGGTATATATAAAAGTCACATGCACGTAAGCGCATGTGAATATCATATTAACAGAATTTTTTTGTAATCATATTCGTACTCTCGATATAAAATTTCGATCTCTAGTATAGATGAGGGACGAAACCTCTTAATAACAGTCTAAACTCAGACGAAACAATATTAAAATCATAATAAAGGATACGACAAAACCCTTTTGATATGACGAAAGCTGAAACTTTCGAAACTATATTAAAAACATAGAAAAGGATATGACGAAATTATTTTGAAGAGGTTTCGGCAGGCATCTATAATCTCTAGTTGTTTTGCAAAATGTTTCTCGCTCACCATTTGACGCTTATACTTACTTTGCATTATGCTAGTAGTTGTTTTAAGTTCCGAATGTGTTAAATTGCAATTTGATTTTATGAGAATTGTCAAATTGCAGATTTCTTAAATGCTTTCAATCTCAAAAAGAAACTTAAGCCAGAATACTAGAGCCGTAAAATGTTCCCTTTTGATTGAATAAATAAAAAATTGGAATCCAACACAAGTTGTTAGTTATTTGGAGTCTCAAAAAGACAAGTTATATGTTGATAATAATTATATTAGTTTCATTAAGAAAGCTAATGCCTCCAGTTTTTAACTTCTTACTTATAGCAGAAGAAAAGCTCAAAAGTATTTACTAGGACATTCACTGATAATGTTCACGTCTTTGTTTACAACTCAAATATTTGGATTTAAGGAAAGTATGCTGTTGACGAACGTGTTCTTTGATTATACAGAAATTCATATTACTTTGACCAACTTCATATTGATTACGGCTAATTTCTTAAATAGTTAAGTGTAAACATAAATTAGATAGTGCTCCTGTCATTGTCAGCTCATGCTTATCATCAAACAATTCTGGAAACAAATTCGCAAACAAGATTAAAAAAGTCAGCATGTTTGACTGGAACTTTAAAAATTAACTTTTAAGATCTATAAGAATCCTGGAATGTTGGTGATAACAATTATAAACCTATGGGCGCTTTGCAGTAGAAAGGAAGGAAACTACCAAAAAAATTTTTTTATTTGGTAGTTTACTGCAAAATGCCTTTATATAACTTTATTAAAATTTTTATTAGCAGAATAAAATCATGCGACTTTTAATAAAAATTGATAATCTGGAATTAGCATAATATTTATTGTGAATTATTATTCTGGACGAATTGTAATATTGTCTAACATTTATTTTATAATAATTGTATTATCGAGACTTATTTGCAGAATGCAGTTTACATTAAAGTAAAATAATACTAATATACTTAATTATAATAGCATAAGAAAATTATGAAATACCTCATTAATTTTCTTTCAAAATTTGTTTAACCTTGATAGTTATTCTTAACCCACTTCTTTACCACCTTCAAGCTTGACTGTTTATTAAAAAACAATTGCAATGTATCATAACAAATCCAATTTCACTAACTAAATAAATTTAATATACTAAACTAATTAATTATATTTTAGTCTTTAATATTATATTTGTATATTTTAGCTAAAAGTAACCTATCTCTCTATTTATGAATCTGATGAATATTTGTAATAAAATTTCTTTTTAATACTTAAGATATATGAGAATCTTAAAAAGATTATCATATATAGAGATTACTATGATTAATCAGATATTAATAATTTTCATTTTTATATTCACAAATTTCAAAATCATGATTAATGCTACTTACAAATCATATTCTTTATAATTTAAATAATTAATATAAAAATTTGAAAAAATATGAATTATATTTGCTATCAAAATTTCTAACTTTTCTTTTAATAAATTGTAATCTTCTAAAATTTCTGAATTATTATTATTATATCAAAAATTCTAAATAATATATTATATAATAGTTTAATCTACTAAATAAGCTCTTTGAAAAAATAAAAGGATATATGTATCTTATTAAGCAAATATTATATTTTTATACAAAATTATATATTAATTTCATTTATCTATATTCTAGTATAGTTTCTTTAATAATTAAGCTTAATAAATTCTTTTCTTTATTTAAAATAATACAGTAGGATATCACCATGTAATATAATTATATTACATAGTAGTATCCCACTTGCCTTAGATTATATTACCACCATATAATCTGAATACCACTATATAATCTAATTACCACTATATAATCTGAATATCACTATATAATCTAATTACCACCATATAATCTAAATAATATAATCTAATTACCTCCATATAATCTAAATAATATAATCTAGTTACCATCATATAATCTATTTATTTTCATGTATTGGGTATCTTTTTTATACTCTAGCTATCCTTTTAATTCTTTCTTGCTATCTGTATTTTTTATCACCATATAATCTAACTACCATCTACCATTTAATCTAACTACTACTATATAATCTAAATACCATACTTTTCTTCTTGTTTCTGAGTCATTTACATGCTAAATTCTTTAATGGAGTTGTTGGCCCTCTGTAGCTGTTTGGATATCTGGTTTTATGTTGAGAATGCTGACCTCCTGCACCTGATTGGATGCTGGATTCTATATTGGAGTACTTACCCTTTACACCTATTTGGTTGCCTGTTTAAATACCAAATTATGGTAAAAAAATCACGTCAGGTGACATAGTAATTTAATGTAAATCTGCGTCTAAATTTGGCTAGCACTATAACATAATTCAGGCTGATCTTTAGGACATATGATTTGGAGGATCTAAGCTGGCACCATGATAGTGACTTGGTATTATCCTGGAGCTGTCATAGAACTGGCAGAGAATCTGAGTATTTCTATTAGTTTATCAGTTTCAGGTCAGCTTGGATGCTGAAATATTATACCCAAAGTTCTGGCTAAAATTGTAGAATAATGCTGGCCGAATTTATACTGCACTTTATTGCATTATGATCACGTGACTTTTGCTGACTCACAGGTCAGAAAATTCAAAATGCAAATGTAAATATATCGCTGATATTTGGTCAATGTATTCCTATAATAAATGAAATTAAAGATAGGATTATTCTGTATAATCCTCATTATACGTCAAGTTATGTATCTTACTTATAATTTTAGATCAATCTAGAATATATTGCCATTCTCTATTACTATTATCTACTCATATCCATTTACAGATGATATCTATTTGTGAGAATTTCTTACCAAGAGGATTGCTACTTAATGCTTGCTCATCATTTTTATCATACCAAGTAAGATAATTCTGATATAAAGTAGCGCAATATATTTGTTTGTAAAGAACGTCCTCAGGCTATAATAAAACATAATCTATTATGAATCATTTGATATTAGAATAAGGCATTTCGCTAGAGTTTACTATCTTATTTTGTTTTCCATTTTCCTGATAGCTAATTGTATTTTTAAGCCTAGTATTTTCATCTCTAAGTCTATTAACTTCTTCTTTTAATGAATTGATCTCCAATTGCATATTTAAAATCTTACGAGTCAGTGTGAGTTCACATTATAAATTAGTGTTTTACCATCTCAAAGAATAATTTTTAAAATCCATTATTATATACACTTTAGGATAATTATTTTTTATGTATCTTTAATAATAAAATATATCGCATCTTGTCCTATAAAAAATTGTCAAAGAAGGTACCAGAAGTACTTTGTTAAGTTTTTTTACCGATCCTATAAAAATTTTCTATCCCTATAAGAAAAATTCTTGAGGACGCTCTTAGGGATAATCTTGATATCATTTTTAGGCTTCTTAACTTGTTTTATTGAGTTCTTTATTACTTGTCTTTAAGAACCCTATCAACCCTAAAAAATTTTAAAGTTTTAAGAAAAAAATCGAAATTTTTCTATGGTATACCACTTAGGCAAATATAATCATGTCTATGGTTGATATAATTGATATATAGTCAATATATGGTATAAAAAAAATAAAAGGTAAAGAGTTTGAAAATTTATAGGAACTTATAGGATCATAGGGAGCAAGTAGTAAAAATGCCTTCCCAGAGTTTTAAAATTTCCAATTTACTATACTAATGATGTTCTTGTTAAGTTTTTTTGCCGTCCCTATAAATTTTTCATGAGGCAAAATTTTGATGAGTCATTAGGGCCAACTTATAGCATTAGGCATTTTCATTCTATTGAGAGCCTCTCCTAATGCTTCTGAAATCTGCCAGTCCTGAAACATCTTATCTAATTTCTTTTAGTGATAATTTGCTTTTGAATGGTACTTATTTACATGCAAATTACAAAACCCATATTTAGAAGCCGTCGGTCTTACACATCTATCTTATTTATATAGAGGTCACTGGCATTTTTTCCAGTGAATACTACACCTTTCTGGTCGCGTACTTCCATTTTCACAAACTATTCCTTCATCAGAGGGATACTGGCAAATGTATTTACCACCCATTGATATTATTCTTCCTTCGGTCGGTTAATTTTTTTGATGTCTATAATAATATTTATTTTATTTTAAACTTTTTTGTTGGGATATTATACTGAAATGGTATACTAGATAACATATTCGAAAATTTTTACTATGAGCCAATCCGAGCTTTCAGAGTTCCTTGATGCGCCTGCCTTCTATTGTAGGCTTAAAGCCTCTGATATAGATACTTGCTTTTATAAAATTTGTGACAATAGTATTAGATCAAGAAATTTTCTAGGTGCAGACAATGAGGATGGAATAGAAGCCATACTCGCAGATCGTGAAGGCCATTCCCTATACGAATTTATTGATGGTGATGAACCACTTCATCCTATTATAGATTTTGATTTATCAGTAGAAACATTAAATGCTATCACTCCCAAGCTTTCAGACAAACAGGCGAAAAATTTACTTTGTTACGCCTTTAGAGATACTTGTCTAGAAATATCTCCAAAATGGGATAAAAAAACTATGGCTATTGCCGAAAGTAGTAATGTAAAAAAATATCTCTCCATGTCTCAACTTTTGGTATGAGACTCCTAAATGTTGCTCAGGTCACGATATTCACTGAGCTTATCCGTAAGTAACTTCCAGAAGGGTTACAAGGAAAAGATATTATCAATAATATTGCAAATAAATGATCATTTTCCTTGCGGATCGTTAGAACACCCAAATTTATTGAAGAAGCTGGAAAACACGTTCATATGAAAAGGCTATTAATCCAAAAGATGAGACTATCTTTGATTTTATGATTCGCCCGCCCAATGATGAATCAAAAGTCATAAAAGTTCTCTCTTAGCCGTTTCAGAGCCAGAAGTCAAAAGATGTAATAATATAAATAGCGAAATCACTGAAGTCGAATTCAGTAGAAAAATTGCTCGAAGAGGTCAGCATTGAAGGATTTAACCTCTCATTTCTATCAGAACAATCTTCCGATGTCTTTTCTCTTAAACACATAGCCTATCATATTGTTCATTATGTAACTGAGAGCATACTAATGAAAATGCATATATTATACAAAATAAAAAATCATATAGTTTTCATTGTTATCGTGCGGATCAGAAAAAGCCACCAGGAATAAGAAAGCCTTCAATAAAGTTTGCTCTTAGTGAAACAGCTTTGAGCTGAGAAAAAAACCTTTCAGCTCCAGTAAAATTAGAACAATCAAGGATTTCAAATCTGAATGACCATTTCGTGTAGTGAAATTTAATAAGTATGTGTACTTCAGGTAAGAAATTTTCCCGCAATGAAGTTTATGAAACTATCCAGACAAAAGTCACCTATATTTTAAAGGATAAATCAATATGGTTACTAAAATATAAAGATTCAGAAAATGGGCTTTATTTCAGTATAGGATCTGAGTTAAAGATTGCTAAGTTTGAGATTAAAATAATCGAATATGGGGTGAAACAGTAAAGTTAAAATTATTAATAGACTAGGCAGTTATTAAAGGTCTAATCGTTTACGAAGATTATGACTTCCTCCCATATCTCATAAGCGTTCCTCAATCAGATTCAGATTTCTTTAACCTTTTCTTAGGATTTTTGACTAAGCCGGCGATAGAGGTTAATAAAGAAATTATGAATCTGATTCTCTGGCATGTATTAAATGTAATTTGTGACGAAAATGAAGAGCTTAATGAGTATATCTGAAACTGGTAGGCATACTTGGTACAAAAATCAGAACAGAAGCCTCGAACAATTTTAGTACTAAAATCCACTTTACAACAGTGTGGGAAAAATATTATCACTGATTTTATTGGTGATAAAGTCTTGGGACAACATCTACATTTTGCAATATCAGATTTAGAAAAAATTCTTAGGTGCTTTAATAACGCTATTCAAGCTCGAAAGCTTATTATTATAAATGAGACTGGGATGTCTAGTGGGGAATGGCATAAATTTAACAAACATCTCAAATCTCTTATAACAGAAAGAAAGGTAGCTATAGAACGTAAAGGTCTTGAAACTAAGAGATTAAAAGATTTCGCTGGATATATGGTTATAAGCAATCAGGATGCTTCACTTAAAATAGATATAGGAGATTCTCGTATAGTCTGTTTTGAAGTCTCAGCACGCTGTAAGGCAATATACCGTATTTTGACCAGCTAGGAGAAATTTTAGACCATCCTGATGCATCAGGAGCAGTCATAACATATCTTCTTAGCCAAGATTTATCGAATTGGAGTCCTGAAAAATTCCTGCAACTAAGATGAAGATAGAAACAATGCGAGAGCAACTTCCTAATCCTATTCGATTTATAATTAATTACATTACAACTTGGCCTGAAAATTAGATTAGCAGGTTTGGCTGTGAAAAAGTATATCAGGATTATCTCGAATGGTGCGGGTCTAATAGGGAAAAGCCATTAACTAGTAAGGTCGCTGGTAAGAAATTTTCACTAATTAGTATTGATCAGACACATTCACAGGATAATAGAATAAGAGTATATCAGTATATTCTTGACCGCTCTAAGATCATAGCCAAGCTTCGAGAATCTGGTCTAGGTAATATCGAAGAATTTTCTGATATACCTTAAGATGAATCACCGGCCAATAAGACTACAAATATACCATATTCAATGTATCAGAAATTATTCCCCTAAAAATAATCCCGACCCTTCCAGAAAAGAATACGCCTCTATCTAATACTAGTAAAGATAAGAAGGTGGATAAGAAGAGCGATGTGACTTAAGACTTTTTCGACTATGTAACAGAACAAACTGAAGTTCCAGTCGCCTCAACAGACCACATCTGGCACATCTGAGACTTCTAAAACACCTGAGTCAGTAATCGATGAACATGAGACTAGCAAATATCCCGAATTAATTGAGTCTATTTGTAAAATAGTGAATATGTCTCCTAAAAAAACAATGGGATCCCAAATACAAGAAAAATTTCCCTCACTGATTAGTAAAAAAGGTAAGGTTTCGTGCTGTTCCTTCTATTCATCTGAGTCCTCTAAAGATTCTGATTCAGATGAGATAATTGAGGGTCCCATAGATATCAGGTAAGAGAAAAAAAGGATATTTCTCATAAGCAACGAAGGAAGACGTGACCAAGAAAGGTTAAGCGAGTGGTAATTTAAAGAGATGAATTAGGCACTTTGCATATTTTTGATCAAAGATAATTGAATCAGATAAATTATTAAGTATGGCTAAAAAATCGAGGAATAACTGACGTAAAACAATGGGTAAGTTCACTACTAACTCCACACAGTATTTGCCATTATGCAATCTGATCAAATATAAACACACATATGATAGGGTTACTGGCTTAATCACTGTCAAGAACATAAGACAGGATAGAGTTGTAGGCATGTTCGATTACTTTGAGTTGAGTGAATATCTGGGAGTCTGATCCAATCCAGAAAATTTATTTTTTCAATTAAAGATACAGCATATATTATTTATGACACATACAAGTGTTTTAATATACAGGAATTACTAAAACATATTTTACATTTCCTAGCGGTAAATAAGTTATTATATCCCGTTTTATTTGTTTTCTGATTGTGATACAGATGTGGTACCCTATTCTATGGAGACGCATTGAGCTAAAGGAGCGTTCTCAAATAAAAAAATTCATAGAATTAGTTCGTGAAGAACAAAAGCCAGTTTATTGTTTGAATGTAACACAACTAGAAATTTCATATTACAATCGGCTTTCGGATAAAAAATTCAAAAGCATTGTGGGTGCGTTTCCAAATATAGTTTATTTAGATTTTAATTATAACACAGAATTTAGTGATAAGACACTAAAATGAATAGCAAAATCATACCTAATCTAAAGTATCTCAATTTGCGGAAGGATGAGGATAGAGACTCTAATACTGAAATAATAACTGATGTCAGTCTATCAATAGTCATACTGAGATGCTGTAGATTAGAATATCTTAATATTACTCACTGCACAGCGATTACTAATATAACTATCAATATAATTGCTAGTTTATGCCTTAGTTTAAAATATCTTGATCTGAAGGGATGTTATAATATCAGCAGAGAAGTCGTATGTCAGCTTATTCCAAATGTCCATGTTGAGAATATTGTGGATATATCACCTTATTATAAGAGTGTAATTGATAAATATCTTAGTCAATTCGATGTTTGCAGATTAGCTGAGTTGGAGCAAAAGATAAGACGTTGCAGTCTTGCTATTGGTCTGAATTCAGTCCCATCTCCAACTTGAGAAATTCTTTTCACTTTAGTATCAAGAGCTTTTAATAACTTACTAGCCGATTAGACTGAGTAATGGTATCCTACTTCACTGACAGGCACTAGCTGAATTTTTTATCAACTGGTAAAGCTCTTTATCCCGTCTTATTTGTTAACCGATTTTGGTATTACACTGCAGGACGGATACTATGGAAGCATATCAAATTCTTAGACTCTCTATAGCAAAAAAAAGTTTTTGCGTATTTGCAGAAACTTAAAACCATTTCATGGAGTAAATGTAAGAAATCTCATTTTCCTATTCTCTTTATGATGAATTTTCAGACGAAGACATAAATGGAATAATAGGCTCATGCCCAAATATAGTATATCTAAATTTTAATGCTACACGTAAACTAGCTATTAGTGAAACTGCAATTATTAATATAGCACATTCATATCCAAATATATTAAGGCTAGATCTTCTTGAATGTAGTTTTATTACTGATACTGCTATTAAAGAAATAGCAAAATCATGTCCAAGATTAGAGCATCTCAACCTTGGAGTATGTGACCTAATCAGTGAAGATACTATATGCATTATTGCACGTTCATGCCGAAACCTTAGGTATCTAGATTTAATGCAATGTTTTATTAATAATAGAGATATTAAAAAAATAGTGAAATCATATCATAAATTAGAGCATCTTGATATATATGGCTGTGATGGTGTTGCTGATTCGGGTATTTGTGACATTGCACGATTATGTCTTAAACTCAAATATCTAGACCTCGGTAATAGCATGATTGGTAATTCAGCAATCAGAGAAATTGCTCGATCATGTCATAATCTAAAATTCCTTGGCCTAGAGGCCTGTAAAGGTATTAGCAGAAATATATTAGAAAATCTTGATCAGAATATCAAGATAGAATAGCACAATTCAGATAGTGATAATGAGTCAAATCTATCTGACTCAGAGTGGTGATCACCAGCTCAGAACATTTTTTTGCTGAGTCCCCTGACAAAAAAAATTATAAATTAGCTAACTTGTTCTAGACTGACAGAAATAATGAAAGCCTCTCCAGTAAAATAAAACATTTTACCCTCTATTAATATTACACATTTGGAACATCTCTTAAGGGATTGTCTAAATTTTTGAAGATATGCTCTTGCATTTTTATCAGCTTCTAATCCACTTATTTCTGAATTAGTATAACTAACAATACCAAGATCACCGTGAATTAAGCTTATATCCCATTCCAAATATAAAAGCAAATGATACATTTCCCTAAGTGTCATACTTTCCCCCCACATGTTACTTCAATGAAATCTTGTATATTTCGATATAATATAGAAAGGATAGGGAGAATATGCGCATCGGACCCCTCCATTATCTATACTATCTGTGCTAATTCCTTTATCAAATCAAAGAACAGCCAAAATGAATCTTTAAGTATTTTTCCTTTGCTTTCATTCAATGCTGTTTGATTTGTATTGTCATTAATAGGTCTCAGAGGGATCATACTGAGTTTTTTCTGAATAGCTATTATATCTTTCTTCTTATATAAAAGCAATTCATATAAAAGCTCTTTATATAGCTCATCACATAATTGTTCATTGACTTGATCAGAAATATTATTAGTATTACTTGTCATGATTGTATTTATCTCTAGCTAGCATATATTCAAATTTGTGTCTGAAATACTAATCATCAACCAGAGTAGTGATCACCAGCTCAGAAGATTTTTTGCTAAGTCACAGATTGTACGACAGAAAAAATAAGTGGAATATCAGTCAGGTTTTGTGCGATATTAAATTTTGCATATACAGAAAAGAAGCTATGCATGCTAACCAGTACTTTATTTTTTTATTAAGTATAATTGATCTACTAGCAAAATGTCAGATGACGAGATAGATACCGAGATAGAAGAAGGCTATGATGAATTTATCAAAGAATATGGATCGAGATATGAATGGGATAAAAAAGGAAATTCTGGATTTATACCAGAGTGGAAAGGATAAGATGATCTTTTTTGCGAAATCAAAATCTATTAGAATACAAAGGCAGTTAGGCATTGGAAGGAGAAAGCGCTTAAGCAATTTATACATAGTCTGCCTAATGTAAGAAATCCATCATTATTATTTCATGTATTTATACATTATGATACTTTCTATCTTTCACATATTTTGAGTCTGATAGAATTGCCATATTATCCGCATAAACTTTGATGGAAAATATAGCCAGAGGGTATTAAGAAATCCTGATATAAATTGCTTATTCAAGATGAAGAATCAATAGTGGATTACTGTTTAAAGGTGAAAAAATGTAATGATATCGTCAAATTCTGTAAAGATCATTTTAGAAGTGAATTCTATAGTGAATTAATACGAGAAAATATGAGATGTATTGCAAAAAATAATTATTATCGTAAATTAGTAAAAATGCTTATTCAGGCGAAAAAAGAATCAGTGACTGGTATTATAACTGGGTTTAAAGATTATATTAGTCAGTCTGGTATTGCTAATCTGAATGGGATACAATACTTATTGAGAGGTATACATTGAATAACTAACCTGAGTGAAGGTAGTCCGGAGCAGTGATCACTAGCTCAGAAGAATTTGTTGAGCCTTAATACATATACTCATATGCGACAAAAATAGCAATCACTAGACAGAGTTCATGTAACATTAATCTTGCATATACATTCGAAAAGAAAACATATTAACCTTTATTCTTTATTTTTCCCGAGAAAAATATGAAAGAACGTCTAGTTGTAATGCAAGACTTACCCTACAAATAAATAGTGCCAGTAAAAGCATATATTATGAAAGGCTGAGGAACTTGCAATTCTGAGATCGCTAGGTATAAAACTAATTATATGTCTTTTCGGTAGATCTTCATGTGAAAAAGGTATGAGATTCCATTTGCATGTGCTTTCATAGAGCTCTTGGCATCAGACGACAATGCTAATAATGTTTCATACCTCCTTAACTTTTTCCAACAAGATATAAAGCATGTAATGGTATGTGGAAGTTCAACCAACTTTTCGCAAAAAACATTCCCGTAAAAAATAACGCAAAATAAGATATGTACAGTATATGTTCTTTAATGCGAGTGAGTTAAGCAATTTTCTCACTATGGATTCTTGCATTTAGAAGTCGAAATGGATGATAATAACATTACTCTCAATTATCTTATCATTCCTATAGGAAAACTTATGAATATTCCATACATTAAAGTAATGCAATCGATTACAATTCGCAGAAGTGGTAATTATAGTGATCTTAAGACTGCAATTTAAAGTAGATTAAGGGTACCATTTAATCAAATCCCTCTCAAAATTTGTATAATTCAAGCCGGAAGCACTATTGAAAGGGAAATGGCCATGAATGAGGATTTTATCGATATTTATGATGAGGAATATAAAGCAGAGCACTTTCATTTCATTGTATATTCCAAATAATTTTCTGTATCATGTAGCGATATATTCACAATTTTTATGTAATGTAGACTGGCTTGGTCCTTCTGGGACCCTTCTGGCAAGGTTTTTTTATTTTTTAAATAAAGTATATATTATGTTCTTGTCATAAATCTTGAAAAATGTCATGTGTAATGATGTAATATAATCGTCTGATAATTCTGTACTACATCTTAATTGCATATATATTGGGCAAAAGGATTATGAATCGATACAAAAAAAAATAAATCTTCTCTCCGAGCGCTGAAACCAAAAATACTTTTATATCCATAAACTAACTTTACCTATATCAAATGCATATTTTTTCGCAAGCACAAACACACATATAAAAACTATGTCTTCACAAGCTTCTTCATCCGCTTCACTTACCCCAATAATATAAAAAATTTCTACTAGAACAATGTCAGACGTAGTTAAAGATTTTAATACAGAGGAGCTTATCGAATATTTGAAGAAAAACTTGAAGTTAGAGGAGTCCCACTTCAAAATTTTATGTAAGGAAGAAATAGCTGGTAGTGATTTTCTTAATACAAATAAAGAGGAATTTCAAAGTTATGGCATGAAAGCTGGTTCTGCAAAAAGACTCACAGAATTTATTGAGAGTCTCGACCAGAAATTACGAAACTATTCCTCATTTAAATCTCTTGATAACTTGAAGGAAATGTTACGTAGAAATAAGGTCAACAGAGAAGACATAACAAGCATTAAGCAATTTACTCCCAGTAAGTGATTATTTTTATTTTACATCACTCTAGAATGGCCCATCATAAATATAGTAATAACTGCTTATTTTTTCTCCACAGTCTTTGAGGAGATTAATGATGATGATAAGGCTTTCGATCACTGTATGGAGGATATAATCTTGAAACTTTCAAATGTAGAAACTATGACTAACGCCAATGAGACGATACGCTGTGAATTTATTTCATCGATTCTTCATGCATCTATCACTGTAGCTAAAAAACTTACCTCTCAAGATATATTTATAGTATTTCAAAAGGATGTTTCCAGTGAGGACGCAACAGGCTGAGTAGACTACGTAATCAAAAGTCTGGAAGACTTCCTCTGCATCACTGAAGAAAAACCATGAAATATTAAGATTGGATATGCACAGGTAGGTCTAATATCCACATTTAACATATTAGAGATATTAATGATAGTTTATTTCTTAGAATCTGGTGCAACTTGAAAGTGCGTTTCAAACAAATAAGAAAAAACAAACTGCGGATTAAGCGTTTGGGAATGACTATTTTGACTATATCTATGGTATTATGACCATAGGTACAGAGTGGCATTTCATCATATATACTTCGGATGGCATCTTCTCCATAAGCGGTAGCGAATATCAGATTAATCTTACGAAGTTCACAGTTAAAGATAATTCTGAATTACTTCAAAATAATGTGAAAAGAGTAATCAGCATAATTATAGGGTTATTGAAGGATCGGGTTAGTGTTGATAGTTCTCCATCTAGCAAGAGGGTTAGGATCAAAAAATTTATCAAAAAATAATATATATCACAGGCTACGTCTTGAATCTTGTATTTATTTTTTTCGCATGTATTAATAAAAATTTTTTACGTACAACACTGATCGTGATGGTTTTTTCTCGAAATCACATGAACTGATTGCCTCAAAAGTTTTCAAAACACTCATGTGATTTTTGATCGTGAAGATTCTTCACGGTTACACCTACATATTTTTCCTGAATGAATAAAAGTGAGAAGCAGTATTAGCGATAACTGTAGAAATTGTAGGAACAAAAATGATGCATTAAATGGCCTGAATCTGCGTACTCCTTTTCCTGAAAGCATGTCATATATTTATTTCTGCTGTTCTCCATAATTTTTTTATAATTAATATATCTGTGATACAAATTTATGTGAATATTTTTTCTATTAACTCAGAAATTTATTTCAGCATTTCATGTAATGATTATACATTTAAAATTTTGGATTCCTTTAACAAAAAGCTTTATTATTTGTAAATTTTCAAACTTAAAAAAAAATAAAGTATTTGCTATTTACATCATCATCATATATGATAATCAGAAATTAAAAAATAATCAAGATCCACGCACAAACTATACTGCTTTATTTCATTAATCAATCTTTAACATCTACTGCTTTCTTTTTTTTCTCTAAGTAATTCTGTTTCTTAGTGAATGAATCAAAATTATCTTTTGAAACTGCAAAGTATAAATAAATTTCATTCGATTTATTCAAGATACTCTTGAGATTCTTTATCCTTTTTTGCTTGATTTCATGTTTCTTGGCAACTGTTATTTGTAATAATTGATTAGAATGGATGTAACTATCAACGCTTTTACTAGTCTTGCTATATAGTCGATAATAACAGTTTTCATTTCCATTAATCTCTGGAACTTTATCGTAAAACTCCTCTTCTAGGATTCTAAAGTTTTTAGTTTTAACACGCACATTTAGAAGTTCACATACTAGGAAATCCTTACTACTACGAAGAATCACATGACATAACATTTCAAACAATTGTCTACAGAGACTTCCCATTTCTAATATATCTTATGCATTATTCATAAATTTGCGTAATTTCTCATTATCATCTTTTTTTAATTTTTCAAAACATAAATTTGCAATATATTCTGAAGCGAAGTAATAGAAAGACTTAGTATATAGATCTCTCTCATTATCAGATGAGAGATTAGTGTAAATATGTATTAGTTTGTAAGTAAGCTCATCACCTTTCATAATTTGGCTTTGATAAGAGAGTATATTTGAATTAACTGATGTTACTACGCTTGCAATATTATCTTTAAGATCTTCCAGTGTTATCTTGTGATCAAAAATCAACCTCACAATTCCACTACATAATCTAAACTTTTCCTTCACTGACACCAGAGGTTTAGATAAATAATTACAATATTCATTAACCTCTAACTCTTCCCATGTTGGCATATTGAATTGTTTGCATCTCTGATGTTTCATGAAACCTCCAATTATTTCTTTTTTAGGCGAAGATACTAAAATAATCTTTCCTCTATCAAAATCATGGTTCACTTTAGGACTTACTCCATCGATTATACACCATACATGCTTTTGTTGTACAAATTTTCTGAACTCGTATTCATTTTCCAACTCTATTAAGAAATTGTTGGAATCCTTGAGATCAATTAATGCTGTGAACCCCATATAGTCTATCAGGACTTGCTTACCTTGTTTAAGAAGCTCGATTAACATTAATCTTCTGAAATATGTCTTACTAATACCTGAGTTGCCAGTTATATAGTATCGTACATAACTCTCATCACTGTTATCATTGAGAATAAAATCCCAGATATATTTATAGCACTTTCGATTATAAATAATTGACTTATCAATCTTAGCAATGGTGGTAATTTGAATTTGAATTAAATTGTGTCAATATTCACTAAGTCCTTGATAAGATCACGAATTAATTCTTTATCTAAAAAAGTTATGTCAAGTTAGGATGTTTTTGTTTTAAAAAAGACCAACATCAATAGATATACCTTACTGTTCAAGTTGAATTAGTTTTCCCTTTTTGGCTTGGTTCTCATTTCCTTTGTCCAAATCTTCTGCTTTCCTTTTGCCTGATCGAATAAAAAAAATATGTGAGATAACGTGAATTTCTTGTTTGAGAGATAAACCATTGGGAGACACTTACCAGTGATAGCGGGCGAAGGTAGCGTCTGAACAATGATATGGATGTGTTTACGAAGTGGTACCTCGTCAATATAGTCCTTGATATTATCGTCTGAATCAAAAAATTTACCCTTGAGGTCCTGTTCAATATTAATATTTGTACACTTATCAATAAGTATCTTCAGCCTTTCGTCCCTGTTTTCCTTGCTGGTGGGGATACAGACATTCCATAACTTGAGTTATTTTGCATTAATGTCAATAAAGGATTTCTCATTTTTGTTATAAATTAATTCTCTGAGATGTGAGATAAGCTTCCTCTCCTATATTTCAAAACTAATATCAACTGTGAATCTGACATCAATGTCATCACCCAAAATGAGACAATTTACCATAATATCGATAACGTATCTGCAACACAAAAATAAAATAAAGTTATTGGTAAAGACGTGTTATATATAAAAGACATGTAATCATTTTGAGTCATATCACGATATATCATATGTGTCACATACCTTTCCTATGATTATTTGCCAGATCATTTTTAATCAAACTATTTGATCGATTTGACATTTTATTGTATAATCAGTAACACAAGAAATAACTGACCCCAAATGTGTAATTGGTAGCTTATGATAAAATACGATAACAAAATTAATCTCTAACTCTTAAATAACATAGCCAGTTCATGGCTGTTCAATTAGCATTTTGCGTAAATTTTTATTACAAATAAGACGAAAAATTTTTCGTCAGGATAAACAATCCGGATATTTATACAAATTTTCATTGATCTAGTTCCATTATTTAACTAATTTAGCTATATGTGTAATAGAACGATTTAAAAAAGTAAAAGCGCATACTTTATGAATCAGCTTTTTTTTACTTAATATTATTTTCTTTGGCAGTTTGAAAGAAGTGTTGACGAAAGAATTGTTGAAGCTCTGGACGAGACATTATGTAATTCAGGTATGAATGTTTTAGCTGTGGCTGTGCATTTGCAAGGAAGTGACCCATCGCTTACAAAGCTAATATCTAATTTTTTGTTCAGAAATTTTGAAGACCTTATTAGACGAATATAAACTTTCGGTGAGTTTTACTAAGATTGATATCGTTAATTTATTTCTGACTCTGCATATTCTATGCATAACTGATGACCATTTTATTCTATTCAGAATATCGATGTTAGGACAAATGAAATCAGATTGGAGTTAATGTTAGGACATTGTGTTAGTATATAGATAGCTTAGATAAAGAAATACCGCAAGCATTAGCATAGAAACTTTATAAAACAAGTTTATGTATTACCGAATCTTGTAATTTATTTTTACATCAATAAATCAATAATTCTGATGAGAATATTACCTCGTTTCTTTATCTATGCTACCGAACTTTTGAATTATTCCATCTTATATAAAAATTATTATTAAACATGCAATCCATTGATTCATTGAAAAAATTAAATACCAAGCTCTTAGCTGAAATTGCCAAGCTTAGGAAGGAGAATGCTGAGATTCCTGAACTTAGAGAGAAGTTACTAAGATTTGCTGAGATCGAGGCTGAGAATGCAGGGCTGAAGCAAATTATTGAAGAAAATGCAAGGTGTAATGCTGAGATTGCTAAACTCAAGTCTAGAGTTGGAGAGCTTGAAGTGAGACTTGCATTATTAGAACAGAATTCAGCAGTGAATGAGATGGCATTTTCATTTGGTCAGACACAAAACGGTGAAGAAGTGATGCCAGTGGTGATGTTATCAACTGTTGATGTACCCGATTCTATAATAGACCAACTCAATAATAAAGCTAATGACCTTGATGGTAATGAGGAAATGGTCAATTTCTTGGATGATGTGTATAAGAAAAGCATTAGTAATGAGATTAGAAAGAGGAGGCAGGAAAAGAAACAGAGAGATCAAGAGGTGCTCGTAATTTCTCAGGATGTGACTAAAATTCCTGAGGTCACTGACATATTAATTTCAGAGCAAGACAAGCAAGACTTATCACAATCTTATGAGATTAGTTCTGAGAGCATAAGATCTGCATCTTGTGTCTTATCAAAACAACCGCAAGTTAATGCATCCAAATTAATATGTAATCTTGAAAACTGTGAAGATTCTTCACGATTGGAGTCATGTGACATGAAGGAACTTAAATCTGATCAGCATGATGAAGTTATTGCCAAGTTGGATAAAAATATAATTGTGGAATAGGAGTTAAAGTAACAGTTATCATCACCTGCATATACAACTACGTTAGATCAAACTTTAGAAGAACAGGATCCATCTTCAGATATTGTACAAAATATAGTTTGCATGTTCAAGAAAACTAATAAGCTTGGTCAAGAAGCAATTTTATACTGATACTACTTTATAGAAAAATATGACAAAAGGATTGATAACCTTGTTGCTGGTGAAGTTAAGAAAAAAACTGTAACATCTATAGTATATCAAGAAATCAAACAGCTTCTACCTGAAATAACAGATGTGAATTTGCGTCAAAAATCCTTAAAACTAGAAAATTATATAAATTATTCAATACATTAGAACTAGAGAAAATTAGCCAGGTTTCTTATAGCGCAGATGCTATTTCGAGTCTCAATTACTAACAAATCCAAAATGTAATAGAATATGTGAATTCAGTAACAAGTTCACACAATGAAACTGTGAAAATTCTTCATGATTAGAGTCATGTGACTTTAAAAACCGTTTCTTAGGAGAATGATCAAATTAAGGCTGAGATAAGTACATTAACAAATATATTATTTGCATCTCAATCTAATTCAACCTGTGACCGGTCCTATTTTCATAGCAAAACATTAGATCAATATTCTAATTTATATAGAGAATGTAGTAGTGAACATTTCGATTATTATGAGATTACTGATGAGACATTATGCGGGAACTATATCTGTCCATTATGTAAATTAGGTCATGATGATGAAGAAATAGAAGGTAGGTATAAAGCTGAATCTTACTTTATTAAATGTGAACAATGTGAAATTGAGATAACTACATAATCTGATTACTTTGGCCAGAGGCACTCCCATATTTGCTTACGCTTCATTGTGATATTTTTTAAGGATAATTTATGCCAACTATTACCTATTGTAATTTAAATTTATTTGTAATTATATAAAAGAACAACATGGCCAAATTCGATAAAACATTAACCCTGAATATCTAGATTGGCATGCTAAACTAACTGAATTACCAAGCGTTTTAACAGATAAGATTTGTACCAATTTATACAAAAGATATAAAAAAGAAATTGGACATGAACCATGACAATTATCAGAAGCTGTGATAAGTATATCAGAAACATCTCAAGCCTCTGATTTCAAACCTTTCATTTTCGAAGCCAGGCCTGATCCAGAATTAATTATCAAATCTGTCTTAGAGCGCTTCACATACTTGAAATTCTGAAATAACTATAGGGGGATCGATAATTATAATTTTGTATTACTTCAGCCGTGGAGCTCAACATGTCCTATTTGTAATGAAAAACATGTGAATTATGGATTACATAGCTTATGATACTGCGAAAATGGGAATCAGCTCCCTTATGATCCTGAATTAGTGAAGTTGTATTCCCAAGATAAGTTGGAATATTGTCTTACCTGCAACACTTCAAGCAATAAACTTAACTTCGCAATTGTAACAAAGTTTAGTCTTGCGGTCTGATCACCTGAAATGCATAGTAGTCGATATCAGAGAAATTCTTACTGAAGAATAGGGCTATGCGATGTAAGTTTGGCATATATATTCACATTATTTTCAAAAAAAAATTTTTCCTTTCCTGAGGTAAACGGCAACCCATAAATACGAATATTGCAACTATGTAAATAAACAAATATAACGGATATACTCACTACATATCTTAGTGTAAAAAAGTGCCAGTGAAACGAAAGTTACTTAGCGAAGTATCGGATGAGACATTACACAATTTAGGATAGGTTTACTTTCGGTTTAGGCTGAGCATTTTCTGGCGTCTTCAGAGCTTTCAACTGTATTATAAGCAAATTCGCTAGTTTGTAATTTATCCAATGTATTGCAAATAAAAAAAGCTTGCTTTGATTATTCTTTACATATGGATAGCAAAGTAGTAATGGATGAATTAATAAGAATTATTTATGCTGATAGTTTGATCGTATTCACACTAATACAGGACGAAATCTTAATTCATGATCGGTAAGTTGGAGATTTTCTTTGTTTTGCAACTATCTCTGCAGACCTTTAGCATAATAAGTGTACTCATTCACACTAATTTCAGGCTATTATTTCACTTATAGATCAAATAAAAATTAGATAGTAAAGAGCAAGGATGAAAAAATATATTATCATTTCAGAATAGCTACACCCCGATTTGTATTTATTTTTTATTTCTGTATTAATGCTCCCTGGTAGCTTTATTATTGCAGGAGATAACCTAACTATTTTAATAAAGTATTTACGTATTAAGGTAAGGAAATAGTAGAAAGCTTTCATCCTGAAGATCCGCTCCCTTGATCTTTGATCAGCGGGATAAGAAAATTCATTTTTTAGATAATATCTGCAAAAATATTACATATCCCTGACTTCTACTTAGAGAAAATTTATTTTTTTGAGGAGGGATTAAGGGATTTTTTTACATGAAAATTAGTCTAATATAATCCGAGTTCATCATATTTTGAGAGGTTTAATCCTTCCTTAGGATGAGTTAACACGTCTAGTAATGAATTGTATTCATCTATTCCAAATTCCCTAGATCTAGAAAATGTGTCAAACAATCCATTTCTTTCATGCTCAGATAAATTAGGAAGACGCCTGGTAAATAGTCTAAGAAGAATATTACGATGATGAGCCAACCAGGCTTGATAAAGTTTGTCTCAACTATCTTCGCCAAAATGAACTATATAATCCCACCCTGTATATGTTTTTCTAGGATCTCACCAATCATCATCATTATCACAAGATTTGTCATTCTCGTCATCATCGCCATCCGCCCAAAATTCGTCATCATCGTCATTTGTCACAAATTCTTCATCCAGATTATTATCAGCGCTAAGATCAGAATTGCTTAATAAGTTTCGATCCATAGCTGATGAAGATGTGTGAATATAATAGAATATGCTAATAATACTTATCCTCTAATTTAGCGTTCTATAGCCTCTTCGATTGGAAGTAGTAATACGAATGAAATGAATCTTGATTACACTGTATATTATCGGCTAATCGCGAAATAATGGAGCAATACGCAGTATGATTTCGAAAAATTTTCTTGCTGAAATAAGCAAATATAATGGGCATATTTTGCTACGTACTCCAGCATGAAAAAAAGTGTCAGTAAAATAATAGAGATGAAACTTACTTAACAAAGCGCCAGGCAAGACATTACACAATTAAGGATAAGTTTACTTGGTTTAGGCTGGACATTTACAAGAAAGCTTTGTAACTAATACATAGTTTCCCTTTCAAGCTTCTCGTTAGCATCACGACCGATGAAATGTATCTCTTTAGAACCAGCTTTATCTAATGTATTGCAAATAAAAAAACTTTGTCGATTAAGATTTTCTCGTGAAATTGGCATATTCGAAATTATACATTTAATGCAAGATAATTTAGATGATTCGTGATCGATAAGTTGAATTGTCAACGAAGATCCAGAGACATTCATGTTTTGCAACTATCATGGCAGATCCTTAGTGTATGGAAAAACAAGATAGGTGTGTTGCTTGCAAGATTGATATTTCAGTAATTTCGAACTTACTATATTTGCGAAACAAGATAGGAGGATATAAAACAAATAACTTATCTTTGAAGATCTTTGATCATAGGGATGAAAGTAATATAAATAGGAGTGAACATGGAGAAATTACTTCACACTTCATACTTCGCACTTCACTCTTTACAATTCAGCACTATGGTCAATGAACCTTCGTCCACCACTATAGCCAGTGAACCTTTGACTAGCACTTCAGAAATTCAAACAGATACTTCTGAGCCTTTCTAACTCGAAGTATTTGTATTAAATTATCTTCGAAATCAAGAGATTTCAACTATCCCCACCAGAATTCTGAAACTCAATCCTTGTAGTATTTGCCAAAGAGTAATCCTAAAATTCCGATTCCAATTGTTCGTTGTGTTGGATTGTGAACACCTTTTCCACCGCTAATGTCTTGAGAATTATATTATGTAAGCAGAAACAAATCCTTTTACTTTTACATGCCCTTCATGTAATATAATCATTGAGCTGACTAGAGAAGAAGCAGTACTCGCCTCTGGAAAATATCATCTTCAGAAAAAACAAACTGACACTGGACAGGATGATGAGAAGCTCATGGCTTCACTAGGATTGGTAGAAGATGGCTCTCGTGCTGGACAAGGGAGTCAGTCGAAGCAAGTCACTATGCAGGATCAGGTGACAAGCCCAATTATGATTGAGGATGATGATGATAACCAATCTAATTCTGTTGATAATAGGTAAGCAGAGTACAGCGCCTCTGGCCATTCTTGCATATATTTATGCAATAGTAGTTCTCACTCTCGTCTTTTATATATCTCCAGAACTCCAGAGAATCAAACTAATTCTAATGATGAAATCCGCGCCACTAATACATGTGATAACTTGGAGAATCAATCTAATGCAAATAGCGGGGATAACACTAACGTGCAAGAAAGTGAATCTCAATCAAAAAGAAATTCATCAAGAAGACGAATATCTCCAAGGATCACTTGTGAACAAGAAAAATTTCAGGCCCTGTTGAAAGAATTATCTATGCCTGCCAAGGGAGAGAAAGCTGAAAATGTTGATGAGGAGGAGGATGCTAATGGATCTGTATCACAAAGCTTAGCCCGATTATATCAAAAGGCAACTCGTGCTGGATTACGCATTACAAAGGCAAATCAAGATGAAATTTTATGTTGGTATAAATATGCTGAAAGGTTCGAAAATAGGGTTAAAAAAATTAGATCTCAAGATTCATCAGTTACCGATCCAACAGCTAGAAGTCGAGCATACCGTGAAGTCTCTCAACATCTTCTAGGAATTACAGAAGCAAATTTGCGTAAGAAAACCCAGCAAGCAAGGAATATATATAAAGTGTTTGTGAGAATAAGAATAAACAAGATCAAGCAGGTAAAATCATATAGCGCTGATGCTATTTCAAGCTTATCTAGTACTCAGATTCAAAGTATTATAGACTGTTTCTCTCTGACATGAATGTAATTATCTATCACATGATTCTGTGAAGATTCTTCATGCTGTTATGTGACTACTGCGCTTATTATCGCTACTTATAAATAAAGCCAATCTCCAGATTTTTTTCGTTATACAATATTTGTTCCTTTTGTTTAGTTTTACTTTTTATCTACTATCTATTAACAAAGCAAACACCTAAACGTAAACTATGCAACATGTCAACTGCTTCTTCTACTGATAAATCTGACGCGTTCAGATATTCTTTATCGTATGTCCCTAAGAAACAAAAAAATGCCAAAGTTGAAAGTGCTTTCGCACCAAAATGACGGTCACAGCACATTATTAGTCAAAGCTCAGATCTTACAGTAGCCATCAGCCAGCTTAGGCTCAGTTCTAGTTTAAGCTCTAATTATGACTTAAATAATCCAGTAGTTGAAATAAACGTGGAAACAAATACAGATACAGATACAAATATGGAAAAGAAAGCCAATGAAAAGGAAAAGAAATGGTGGGCAGGGGAAGGTTCTCTAGGTTCTTTGGATATCGATGAGAAAAGGTAAATATATTAATTACTTATTACATTTAGCCTATGCTAAAGTCTGATTTGTCTCATTAGACTACCTCTAATCTTGGCAAGAGATGCAAAATATAACAATTTTATAACAAGAGTCGAGAAGATTAAGACCAGGAGGTACTTTGATTATCGAAATGGCACTATAACTATTATCAAGTTATCTACTGATCTGCATAAAGTTACATATACTCGATTTAGTCGTCAGTTTTTGAGTGCTTTTAGTAATGTAACACAGCAAGATGATGTAGAGAACTGAAGAGCAAAAAGTAAGTCCTAATAAGAATTTAGCCTGCATTCATATTTCGCTCTGCTAAAACCAATTTTATTACATCTAGGTTTATTCACTAACATCCTAACAAATCAATATGAAGAACCAGATACATGCTTTATACCTAAGCGTCTGCTGACATAGAACCCAGCACTAAATCCTTGTGATTGAGATGTATGTTTTATTAATATTATTATAAGATATAGAAAATATGGATTTCATTGTGAATTTTAAATTTTTAGAGAAATCTATGGCCAACCATCATCTTTGAAGTAGCTTTCTCAGAAACACTTGCTCATGTAAGAAGAAGATTGATGATTATTGGCTACATCCAAATCGCTGTGAAGATGTGATCGTTATCAAAATAGGTGACTGGCGTATAAGACGTCGTAATAGTAATGGTACTACCAGACGCCTTTTGCATCATTTGTGGGTTAGTATAATATTGAATAATTTGTGATTTTCTTTTTTGCTCTTCATTTGTTTAATTTGTTCTTTATATTCTTAACAGTGCTTAAAATTCTGTCAGGCTGAAACCCTTCGGCAAAATCTGAATACTACAACTTTCGATTCAATCGAAGTAGGATTAGTGATTTTTATAATGGATTTTTCTTTTTTTGCTTATTTGGCTCATATTATTTGTCACTTTTAGATTGAGTTCAGATCTGTTTTTGCCAATGGAAGGGAGAGCTATTTTTGCACCGGGCCTCATATTAAATGGCTTACCATCGACTGTGATTGTATTTTTAATAGTTGTCCACAACCTCTTCCTTCATTCTATCATATCGCATTTTCATGACCTTTTATGATTCCTCAATTCCTTTATCCTCTTGTAAATCCAGGAGTTGCCATTAATTTATTTGATCTTCAGGAAGCAATTTTTAATGTAATGGATCCAAATTGAAGGTTCAAATAATAAATCAGGCAATTACATTATGTAATAACGAATTTGATTATGCTAATATTTTAATTCTTTTAAATTATGTAATACATTTACAACTATTTGCTAGAAATTTCGCATATTTGTACTTTTATAAAAATTATTAATAAAATTATATTGCAGGAAGTGCATTAAACCAAAAATTTATCCAAAGATCATATTATGTAATAAATGTATCAACCAATATTATTAATGGTAATAAACTTTCGATACAGCTTAGGAAATATGTATCAAGTGTAAATAAATGTAACGATCACATGATCATGGAATTCTGAAATTGAGCCATATGGCGTGTTCTCAAAGTTTAGCACTTTTTTTATATATAGTATTGTAAAGCACAATTCGCTTTTGTTAGTAATTAATAAAGTTTTGCCCAATAGGGCTTTCATTTTTAAATCCATGTATATGCTGTGTGATTGCTTATCGAATATAACATAATAATCTAATTGGCCAATCATCTCGTGATTTATAGAAATTTGCCAGCTCCTGGAACTCTCCTTGAACTATCAAGGAACTGGCAGGGATCTAGAATGATACATTTGATATGATAAACATCATGTCACAAACTGATTTAGCCTGGCGCCGTGTATATGCATGTAAATATAAAATTAGCTTAGCCCGAGATATGACCCTATATAAATCCTGATATGCTTGTAATCGAATAAAAATGAATCTGATATTTTATTATAATATAGTTGTTATAAATTACTATAAATCGATAAAAAATAGTGAAATTGCTATAAATCTCTTAATCAGTAAATCTGTATAATTTGAATGGTGATATTATCTAGTATAGGTTGATAAAGAATCAATATAATATACTGAAATTGCTAAAATTGATAAAACATTATAAAATCGTTATAATCTGTTATAATCTACTAAAATACTATTATAGATTTAGATAGTAAAGCCTAATATAAGCTAGTTTCTATAGGCTGTAGTGATGTAAACTTCAAAGAATATAGAAGAATATTAGAAGCATTATATCTTTTAGGGGAACGATATGATCATAAAACATCAGAAATGTGGTGCTCCCGTATCTGTGGTCCATTTAAAAAAATACTTGAAGAGAATCCAAGAATTCTTTCTAGAAATAGATACATTATAATGTGTGGAAAATTAATTGAAAGAAGTGATAGAGTTCATGGTCTTCCATTAAATTACATATATTGTAATATATGCGACTCCTTAGTTTTCATACCTGAAAATGGTCATAAAGTTGATCAATATCAAGATGGCTACTTGAAGAGATGTATTATTAGCAAATCTAACCCAATCGAATATGCGAGAAGAAAAGAAATTCTTCAATCTATTGATAGAAGGGAATTTCAGATCTGGCAATATAAACAATACATATTAAAAGAAGAGGTGAAAATAAAGCGTCTCCAACTGGAGCTTTTATCCCAATCTATTCTATACTCAGAAAAGGATAAATTGGCATTGATATCATATGATTATGATACTCGTACAATTCTCTATGAAGCTTATGTGCAGGCTAAAGCAACTATGGCAAAAAATACTATGCCAAATACTCCAAATTTTGAGTCAGCTTGTATTTTACCTATCAGGCAACGTAATGCAAGTGTATCTGAGACTAAAAATTTTTGAAATGATCGATCTAATATGCCTAATATTTCTAGCAGAACTAGATTGGGTGATCTTGCTGAAGCATATTTCGATTCTGTGCGAAAAAATACAGGAAAAAAATAGACTTAATATCTTTTAACCAAATATTAGCATTATGTATATTAATTATATTTAGCCAAACATAGCTTATACTTGATTATTTTGTGAAATGATAGCTATATAATCTGCATGCATGATCGCCTAGTAAAATTGGTTGAAGGCGCTATGTATGAAATGTATCACCTGCAGACGCTATACATAATCTACCTATTCTAGGTTAGATTCTCAAATCTATAACTATTTTAATAAAGTATTTTTTTGAGAAGTTCAGGAAGATCAATGAAGCGATCTTGGGGATTCTTGATTGCGAGACAATACAACTATCAGTTTAAGAATTTCTATGCAGTAGTTATCCAGCGAGCTTACAAGAATTACAAAAAAAGACCTGAGTCTTTGGCAAAACAGGTT